AATATAATTATAATAAATAAATGCACAATATATATATATTATTAACTATTTTTTGAAACGGGTCATAGAATTCTACCGGGAATTAGAACTCTACTAGTAGGAGTTGTCATGGCAATATATAAAAATACTACAACCATAAATAAAAAAACTGTTCATAGAGCCTGTCAATCACACCACTCTTTTAAACCATCGAATGATTATATGTCTAGATATATATTATTTACCACTATTCTTTGACGCGTATCACAGTGTTGGTGCATCTCATATACAAGTGAGTAAAGTGATGTTGGTGAAATATGTTTCCAAATTTACAGGTGTTGGTGAAATATGTGTCAACTAGCGCATATAAATTTTCACTTATTATTTTTGCTTTTAGAGTAAACATGCGATCTGTGATGATTTTTGCTTTATTATTCTTACTGGTCATCGATATTAGTGGTGTAGAACAGCAACTGAAAGTAAGTAAACGAACATTATTCATACTTCTATTTTATCATTCAAAGCGATAAACTGTCGGGTCAGAAATTTTGAAATAATCTACAACTAACATCTATTGTAATATATCACAGGATAATATATCAAATACGATCCAATTCAATGTATGACCATGAATGCATTGGATTATTGTTTAAATTCAAAAGCAGCAATGGCCGACCGACTACATTAATGGCTTGATAACCCAGTATTGTTGCCCTGTGGATTTTTTTTTTAAATTCAAGAATTTCTTCATCTCCATCAGGGTTCTGAAGATGACGCTTCCAGCCAAGGTTTGATATTTTTATTACCATAGTATTCACTCATCGCTTGCTGTGATCTTAAATTGCTTCAGACATAGGTGATTTGTAGACGTGAATTTTAAATTCAAGTAAAAAATATACAGAATATAATATGTGCTCCTTTGTATCAATGCATTTTCAACAGTTTTGTCCTCTTGTTGTTGTTTCTTTGCCAGTAGAGCGACGGTTCAATATTTTCGGACATTATTACCAACGAGAAATTGTGTAAGTCATGATGATATCTACGTATTGCTCCGTAATTTGCATTGTACGTATTCCTTAGAAATATAATAGTGCTAGAATTAATTATTCATTCTTTTGGGCAATGCATCAATGTACACTGAGTAATCTGAGTGAATGTATTTTTGTATGCATGGTAAGGCAAAGGGAGGAGGATTAGAGATCCTCTCTTACCGACCACTTTTTGACACTGTACATGAATATATTGTTGTAGGCTACCGTGACGGACAGCGAATTGATGTGTGTTTTATTGTAATTCAGTTAATATAAATTACGCACAAGTTTAAAAAATCACATTATTGCTCCAAAATTCACCCTGGAATCATAGTTCGGTCCTGCTTACACATAAATATAACTCCAGGGAGCAGACATACTTGAGCATTCAGAACAAATGTGTTTTGTCGAGAGTTAACTACATGTAAAATATAGTAATTCACAATTACAGTAGTTTAATGTAACGAATTTCAATTAAATTATATTCCTTGAGTTTATTTAATTTATAATTGTCGTCATCGTTACTCGTTGTCCCTCCGCCATCAAATGTGAAAACGCAGAATGCACTTTGTGTCAGCCATTCAGGTTTCCACTAAGTTTGATAAATGAACCAGTTACTATATACATTGATTGACGATGAGTCTTATTAATTTCTAATTTCATAATGTAATTGATGTCAGGTGGATTTATACTATGTTGGTGAAATAAAAACAAATTAGGAAGAATGCATTCACTCCATAATGCGTGTATTTTAATTCTATGTATTCCAATGTTGCCTTTAATGTGTAGATCTTATAGATATGTGTTATTTTCTTATGAATGCATGGTTAACAATTGTGTAAAATTGTGTTTTTTAGGAATGGGACAAGCAATTTGAAAACAATAATGACAATGGTGGACCACTCAGTAGTACAGTAGTTCAAAGCATCCACGAATTAGTTAAGATAATGCCATCTGTTGTTATGTGTTGATGTTTAGGAATATGTATTAATATATGAGTTGAACTGAATAAAGTTGAACATTGTCAGTGCCTATTTTTTTATGATAATAACCAAACCTTTAGCAAAGGTACCCTTGCACATAGTGATCAGCGTACACGTCAGTCCAAACATTTATACTCGGTTAGAAATGATAACAAAAATAAAAAAATGTTCACCATTTTTAAAAATCAGAGGGCCAATACCCCTCTACTGTATTGCACTACGAAGGATAAGTGTAAATATGCTCCATGCACCAATGTGTATAAAATGCATTAGGTGTTTAGTAAAGTACATAAGGGTAGTTGCAGACTTTAAGGTCGGCAAATAAGCCAATACAACATACGCTCAAACAAAATATGGTTTACACTTCTGAATGAAATCAAATAATCATAAATTTTACTCAAACAACTGTGTTGAAATGTCAATTATTACTGATATTTTTGTAATATCATGCCAGCAATGCAATTCAAATATCACATAGTTACAGTACACGTTACTGAAAACCAGTGCAAATGCCTTTGCCAATTCAGAAATGAAATGTTTGAATGATAGATTGATTTGGCCATTGATGTGAGTAGAGAACAAATACAGAAGCACTATTGGTTATCATGAAAAACTTGTCATTCAGTAGCAACCTCTTGTTCCTAATTTAGAAAACGATCGAGTCTAATATAAAGATTCAACGTATGAAAAATCTTGAAATGTGTTAAAATGAATTAAGTAGTGGCAAACCATATCTGCATAGGTATGTCTCAAGCGCACGCTTTATGGTTCATTTAGTGTAAAATGTATTCAATCTCAGGACTCACCCCCCAAGTGTAGTAATAACTATTTATACCATTTCCTACTTGTGACGGTTATTAAGCTGTAAACAGGCCGCAGTACTCATTTCACCCAACCTCTCATTTTTTTATCGTTTTTCAATCGACCACTTATCGGTTAATATCCGAGCGCGCGGTCTTTCTGACTGGCAAACAACCACATTTGTATAGCTTTCTTTTTTGTTCGATTGTTGAAAACACCGACCGTTCGTCCAAATAGTGATCACTGGAAGAGTGGTGGTCGAAATGGTGGCCTTAATGGTAACGTTTAAGAATACAACGAGCATTAACTATTATTAAAAACGATACTTGAAAAATAAGACACTTTATATCGTTTGCCAATGCAATTTAAACTGTTTCACAATATGTTTGAATCCAGGGGTGCTCGCTCTTTTAATATTGATTATGGAGATAGTTACGTTAAATAGCAATGCCAACTACTGCCATCGTCTCTCAGGGAATTGTGTTGAGGTGCGAGGCTTGGACAGAAATCAGAGAAACAAGGAAAATATAAATGTGCTCTACCTTCAAAATAATGATACCAAACCCACGTCGGTTCTTGTTTTTTTTTATTGAAGAAATTATGCGGTATAATATAGCTTCGATTAATTCATTTTATTGACGGCCACACGTCTGCTCAGATATGTAAGGAACACATGATGATTTAAGATTATCTGTTGCATAGTGTGACTAATATAATGCAGCTATGACACAACGTGTACTTTAACATCGTTAGCTTATTTTATTAGAGTATATTAATTTACCTTCTTCAATAACAGACTCTTGGAAATAATCTATATACGTGCTTTATATCATTATATACCAGCAATAAAAAACATTATGACGTAATATTATACTCAAACCGCAATATTAGTATAACAGTTTGAACTCCAACGTGATCCGCTTGTGTATTTGTACAGAACTCTTCCTATCCAACACACGCTCACTGCTCACCTGAAATGCGTTATAATAAAAAGTCAAGTTCTGAAGTTGTCTTATGTATCATCCAGAGTGTTATCGTGTTTACCAGCTCGGTAATAAGATACATTAGACCAACAACACACTAACGAGACAACATAGAGATACCCGGAATTGAACAATATTTATTGTGGAGACGAGATTGGTGTCGTGTTTACAGTACAAAATAATACATTGTATTATGCCAGTATAGAGTACCTAATAATCAACATATGGCTTGCAACAGTCCTTATTTCCATACAAATAAAATATAATACTACTTAATTTGTCTTAAGGTCCGACGAATGCGAGTACAATCGCTCCAGTAACCGAATATACAAACAGTACGTTATATAAAATATACTCACCAATAACTGGCATATCACATCATATATTGTGTTGATGATATTCGCTCACATTCGATTAGGTTCAAACTGCATGCATTGGATCGTAGAGTTACAATGAAGGAAGCGTATTGTACATTTAAATAATACACTGTTTATTATAGCGATGTTACAGCAAAGAAACTACAATGTAACAAGAAGGCAACTGATAAATACACCATAGAATTCCATTTTTATAGGGTTGAGCAGTGATTGGTTTTCAATATTGGCACATCAGCTTAAAATCGATCTTGGCACTGATTCTTATTGCGTTCGTGCTGCCTATTGATTATTATTAATTGGCTTATGTAAACCGAATCTGTGTTTCTTTACAATAGAGATACATGCGTTACGGTGTAGTTTCAGGCATGTAACAACTTTCAATTGTTGTATCTCAGCTAATATAGATTGGAATTGTATAAAATAAGGACGAAAAGATACAGTAAAATATAGTCTAATAACATCACTTAATTACGAATACGAAATAATAAAACTGAATAAACAATAACAAATATGCATCAATGAGGAAAAACACAAGTGGATAAGCATCCACGACATATTGCACCATATATTTCACATAAAACATTCCAACCAAAAACACCTTTATATTTTTAGGGGAGATGATAACATTTGAAGGCATGTGGTATAACATCCAATGCATAAGTACGTATATTCTGACTCAGGTTTGTCGCGATATTGCCCATTCATCATTTCAAATCAATGCCGATTTCCGTGGTAATATTCCGACTAGCGCTCGAAGTATTTGTCTCAAATACGTGTTTATTATTGTCATTAAAGGCGGTGTCCAGTTGCTAAAGACCCCGAAGAACAAACCGTTTATGGTAAACTATTTTTGTTATATTGATTTATTTTAAATAACATATCATTCAAACGTCAAACTTGCCTAACCATTTTTCGTTTTGCGCTTAATGACAAAATTGTCGTCGCGATTCTTAAATTGAGATAATGTTTAAAAATTGCACAAAAAAAGAAAATAAGCGGATTGTACCCACATTATATTGTGCAACTTCAGATCAATAAACAACTTTTCACCAATATCTCTGCCGTAATTCGCAACGGTTAAAGCATCTTTGTAGTAAAAAACAGTCGAATGTACATTGAAATAAACAACTCCCGTATTTGGACAATGACAACCCGTGGAATAAATGTATTTTTAAAAGATCCGAGCATGCGTGTTAATGTGTGCGGCCTTTTAGACAATGCTAATGGTATTGCATATCACGATTTGGTGAAACCAGATGGACTTATTGTGTCTAAAAATAATGCTGACATTTATGAATTTGGAAATAGTTTGGAGGTGCCTGGAAAGCCCCTTTCACAATTGGTGCCAAACAGACTACAACGGCTTGCGACTCGAAATTGTTCCCGTTGTACGACTCGTTGTAGCCGTTGTACCACTTATTGTACGATCCAGATGCGACAAAATGGTCGCATCTCG